AGTATTTTTTATATATATATCACCCCATTAGTCCAATGCATTACTCTGGGCGGTTTACATCAGGATAAAATGCACTAGACATAGTAATTGATATATTGTAGGTGTATGAATAAATAATTAAGCAACTTAAATTTGCTTTTTAAAATTCGTCTGTTAAATAAGTGGCCTGAATCAATCATAAAACTAGCAACATATTTTGGTAAATAATGGGAAAAATCCTTCTTGTTACATATAAACCAAGAGATTATAGTTGTAACAAATTCTGCTCTGTTTCTGAAAAAAAGTATCTTTCAACCATGACTTGTAAAGCTGCTCCCAGTTAGATAGGAGAGTGGATGACAATGTGCAAGGCTGAGATCTTGCTTTGCCTTGCTCCAAGTCACCTTGTGCCAAACCATTGTTTAGAGTTGCACATAACGCAGTTCACTGTCATTTGAGGATCATAAACTGATGAGTTTAAAATGATGTCCACTGATATATAAAAATCTTTATATAGGTTTTAAAAGACAAATTGGCTAAATGTTTACTGAATATATAAGGTAAAGGTAAAGGTTCCCCTTGACAATTTTTGTCCAGTCGTGTCCGACTCTAGGGGGCGGTGCTCATCCCCGTTTCCAAGCCATAGAGCCAGCATTTTTGTCCAAAGACAATCTTCCGTGGTCACATGGCCAGTGCGACTTAGACACGGAACGCTGTTACCTTCCCACTGAGGTGGTCCCTATTTATCTACTTGCATTTGCATGCTTTCGAACCGCTAGGTTGGCGGGATACTGAATATATAGATATATATATATATTTTTCTCCCTGCAGCTGATGGGGTCTGTGTGTTCAAATGCCTGGTTAACAAAGATACAGAATACTGCCGTGTGGGAAGAGAATCTGTTTTGATAACAATTGGTTACAACAGTGCCTTACTGCAGTTCAGGTCACATTCTGGTAAGTGACTGGTGATATTAAAAGTACTTACTAACTCTGGTGGTGTTTCTTCCCTTAACTGTTTTTTATTAAAGCAACACTTCTGACACATATTTCTTCATTTCTGTGACTTTTATTCAGTTGTGCTGTTTGTGATCATCTGTTATGTTCATATTCAAACACTGATATTAGAACAGTGATTTCCAACATTGGATCCCCAGATGTTCCTGGACTAAAACTCCCAGAAGCCTTCATTACTACCTGTGCTGGCCAGGATTTCTGGGAGTTGTAATCCAAGAACATCTGGGAATCTAAGGTCAGGAACCACTGTATTAGAGAGTCAATATAAAAGTATATAGTGATACCGTGTTACAGGGCAAATTCTCATCTAACAGCAGATACCAGTAGGGTTTTGGTCAGGGCCATTAAATGCAAAGTGGCAAAAATATGTAATAAAATTCTGTATTGAATAATATTGGGTCACTAAAAAGTTACAAACAAGGCAAGTGTTTGAATTCTTCAGAACTCTTGAATAGGCAAAGGTAGAATAAAATGGGGGAAGGGTAAGAGTGGAGGCAGTCGATCCAAACATTGATCCAGTTATGAAGCTGATCTTTCGTGAAAGCAAACTGCTAAGTAGAGCAAACCGGTACCTCAGCACCTTTGTCTTATGCTGAACCTGCCAATATCATTTTACCTTGTTAGCTGTTTGCCTTCAAGAATGATGGGCATCACATAATAGTGTCAGTAATAAGTAGTGTGATCAAAATGCTAGCTATAATTTAAATTTCAGCCTGTGCTTGCTTAAGGGAAGTTATGTTCAGTGGGACCTGTCATGTTTGCATGTAGAATTCTACATGTTAAACTTTTTAAAAATGTCTTTAAAAATTCTGCTTTTCATACTTATTAAAATAATGTAATATCTGATTGTGATAGTCAATCAATGTTAAAGAATGAAGATGCTCAAAAATAGAAACTGTATTCGTAAATCTCACCTTTTGGAATTAATATTGTCCCACAGAAATAGCATTATTATATCATCTTTCCTATTCCCAGCATCAAATGGTAGGATTGCTAGTTTACAATAAATTCTCAGGTTCTTTCAGTGATGTACATGTGTCACAATTTTGCTTCCTTTCCCCCATCTTTAAACAATCACAGTTAGCTGTTGCTGCTGCAGAGATGCCCAATTTGCTGTATATACCTCTTCTGGTCGAAAGTGATATGAACCAGTGCAAAATAAACAAACATGGGTAAAAAAAATCTGACTTCTTGTTAATAGTGGCAGTGGCCTGAACCATATGGAATGTTCTGCACCACTCTTTTTCCCTGCGATGAAGGAGTTCTGGAAGATACAGTACGAAATAGTAACTTTTCCCAAGCTTTCTCCTGTCTGACATAAGCTTTCTTCAATTGAGGTATTCATCACAGAGCTTTCAGACACTGTATTGGTTAAGGATTCGAAGTATTAAAGTACATTTCACTTCAAAATCATAAAAACTTTATAATAAAGGATTTTTCAACTCCAAATGAAAGTTTAACAGAACCTGGCGGGTGTTGAAACCAGACAGTTGGACTACATAATTTTGAATAGTTTGCTGTTTAGCCCTTTAAGAATGCCTTTCAAAGAGGATTGTCACTTACTGAGTGGTTGCACAGATAAAATTAAAGTTGCTTTTCTGAAACTGAAGATACTTAAGGAATGACTAAGCTTTATAGGGGAAAGAGACTGCCACCAAAAACAGAGGTCCTATGCTTTGAACTTTCCTAGCCTCTTTTTCTGCAGAATTGTCTGCTATTTGCATTTGTGTTGGGCAGGGAGAGAAGATATTTAAAATATGGTGGAGATATATTGTGTATCGCAGAGAAAATGTGGAAAAGCAGGTGGGCAGCAACCACCCATTTCTTGTAACATTTAACATTACTTGTCTAAGCTTGAATTGCTCACAACTTTGAGTTCTTTTAGGATTGTGAGTTGTGAAAGGGCTTTACATGAAAAATAGTACAGTATTGTGTCTTTCAGCAGAGTCTCAGTTTATCTCGGGATTGCAACACCATAGGTAACATGACAGTTATGAAAATTAACATATTCAAATTCAGAGTAGGTCTGCCTACTCTGAATACATCCAGAAGACTGCTAGACTCTTTTTTCTTGTTTCAAACATTTAGACAGCAGTAAATCATGGATGGCATTCTCTACTTCCTCCAGAACATGTGTGCAACATCTGAACAGCATCAAGCAGGCCATAAAAGTACCTGTCAATGTGTCTAGTATAAAATAATTTATTTTGTGAGTAATGGTCATCTATCTGGAATACTTCAAGCACTGAATGTGTAGGCTACCTAAGTACAGTGCACTCATTAACTTTGAAAAATTATGATGATTTTGATTCCTCTTTTCTCAATTGCTTTAAAAAGCTTGATTTCTGATTTTATTGCTGTTTGTATATGTTGACTCTGGAAAGTATTGGTGTGCAAGCAAGGATATTGCTACAATTGACCAGACATCAGCACATCTGGTGACTAGTAACCCTGTCTTAGTACTATGAATGACTTATACTAAGTTTACAGGAAGGTCAGAGACAGCAAGAGAGATTGTGTTCAAGACCTGTTTGAGTATTTCTATTCAAGAGAATGGAAAGGACTGGTCTTTCCTGTTGCAACAAGCTTGCAGATAAATGTTTTCACCACTTTCAAATTGTTTGTTTCTTTGTGTGTGTGTGTGTGTGTGTGTGTGTGTGTGTGTGTGTGTGTGAGAGAGAGAGAGAGAGAGAGAGAGAGAGAGAGATGTGCTGTCAAGTCAGAATAGGCTTATAGCGACCCTAATTGGGTTTTAAAGTGTACAAGCTGTATTTCGAAGGGGCAGAGGCACTAGAGACCAAATTGCTAACATGCACTGGATTATGGAGGAAGCCAGAGAGTTATAGAAAAACATCTACTTCTGCTTCATTGACTACACAAAAGCCTTTGACTGTATGGACCACAACAAACTATGGCAAGTCCTTAAAGAAGTGGGAGTGCCTGACCACCTTATCTATCTCCTGAGAAACCTATATGTGGGACAGGAAGCAACAGTTAGAACTGGATATGGAACAATTGATTGGTTCAAAATTGGAAAAGAAGTACGACAAGGCTGTATATTGTCCCCTGGCTTATTTAACTTATATGCAGAATACATCATGTGAAAGGCTGGACTGGATGAATCCCAAGCCAGAATTAAGATTGTCAGAAAAAATACCTGACAGAACGCCTCCTCCTGACAAGATCTGCCTGTCCCATTCGATCTGCCCAGGCTGGGTGCTTGAGAGTTTTGACCCTGAGAGAGGCTCAGAAAGAGAGAACCAGAAACCGGGTTTTCTTGGCGGTTGCTCCTCAGCTCTGGAACAAGCTCCTGCCTGAAATCCGCCTGGCCCCTTCACTGGGAATTTTTAAGTGACTGTTAAAAATGTGGCTTTTCTGGCAAGCCTTCCTGGCCGTTACAACATTTTAATTGTAACACCTAATTAGAGCGAGTGGTCTCAACATTTATACTATCTATCCTACTGTCTTGCTCTATATTATATTATATTATGTTATATTTTTATTATGTTATATTATTTTAATTGTTTTATTTAAATTGTTGATTTTATCTTTATTTTGATTTTGTATTATTATGTTTATTGTTGGTATAGTGTATGTTTTATTCGTCTAACATGTAAACCACCTAGAGTGGATTAGTCGCCAAGTGGGCAGTATAGAAGCCAAATGAATGAATGAATGAATGAATGAATAGAGTAAGATAATCATGTTATAATATATTATAGAATAGAATGCTGTGTTATGTAAATTTTAGGTTGACTTTTGGCTTCAATATATTCTTTAGAATTCAATATATTCTTTACATACCTTCAGCTGATGAATTTTAGTATACTGTACTGATAATCTTCTGCTTTTTAAAAATAATTTTTCTTTTCCATATAAAATATACATTCTCAAATAGATATTTCAGCATGAATACTGCATTTTTCTGCTCAGAAATGAGCTAAAACCTTTATCGAAAGGTGTTCAGAAGATTTCAGATTTTTCAGTATCTACATAGTAAGGTAAAGGTTCCCCTTGACAATTTGTCCAGTCGTGTCCAACTCTAGAGGGCAGTGCTCATCTCCGTTTCTAACCCATAGAGCTAGCATTTGTCCAAAGACAATCTTCCATGGTCACGTGGCCAGTGCGACTAGACACGGAACGCTGTTACCTTCCCACTGTGGTGGTACCTATTTATTTATTTATTTAATTTATATCCCGCCCATCTAGACTGTGTCTACTCTGGGCGGCTCAAATCTGACCGGCCACATCTATTCAAGGTTTCAGGAATGATTCTTTTCTAATCATTCCGGGAGAATCTTGGTATTCCATAGTGATCTTCCATCTGTTTAATTCTGCTTATTTTTTGAAATCAGACAAGATCAAATATGTTCAGTATGATAAGGTGAATCAAAAGGTTAATAGTTATCCAGAAAGTACATTTTTTCACCATTATTTTCCAAGCTATACAAGAATTAGAGAAAATGCTATTATGAATAAAGAAAGGGAGGTTAGCAGTTGTCATCTTCTAAAGAGTTCACTGAGGAAAGAACAGGAGCATATATTTCATTGCTGGTTCTTTGCATGTTAAGTTCACCAGATCCATTCCCCTCCCCCCTCATTTTGCAGAAGGTATAAAAACAACTCTGCAAATGTTCAGCTTCCCCCTTTACCTTGCTTGCATGTTCACATTCTGGCAGTGCTGCAGTTTTCCTTGATAACAGCAGAACCTGTTTCTTTTAACATCCATGATTTTCTCTAGGCACTGAGGAAAAGCCTGCTGTGAATTAGTGCTATCTGTCTTTACACTTCTGTATTTAATAGCCTGTAACTTCATTATTTCTTTTCCAGAATATAGCCTGTTTTCTACTGCTCTGAAGAATTGCAGGAATCAGACAAAGGAGCACTCCGTGTTCAATCAGAGAACAGAAGAATCCTCTGCAGCTCAGTATTTTCAGGTATCAGTTCTTTGCATCACAATCCTACAAGACTTAAATTGAGTGTTTGCCAGTTTTATTGCATTTCCTGAGCCAGGCTTCTTCATATGTATGCTAGCTTGAATGTCATCAGATGTAAAGATTTGACGTGTAGCATGCAGTGCGACAACCAAGTGGTTGAAGACAATTTGTATATCTTACCCTTCTATTTTTCCTCTCTCTCTCTCTCTTTTTAGTTTTATGGCTGCTTGTCGCAACAGCAGAATATGATGCAAGATTTTGTGAGGACAGCCACATATCACAGAGCAATACTACAGAACCATATTGATTTTAAAGATAAGGTAAGCACATTTAGAAGTCTGGCAGCCCAACTCTTAAGTATTTGCAGTGTGAATCTGCCTGCAGTACTGGCATTTACCTTGTTGTAATGCAGCCATGTTATCGAGTCTGACAGCACATTCATTCAAACCAGTACTATGTACCTTAGTCACAATCAACATCAGTGATAACAAAGGGTCAATGTAGGATCAGAAATCTTCTGTAAGCAAACTGTGTACTCTGCTCAGAGCTTGCGAAATTTCCTTTTTTAAACTGTAGTGTGTAGATTTTCCCAGCCAAGTATGCCATGATGGCTGGTGGAAAATTGTAGCGGCACAGTCCAAAAAGGTAACTTTCTCAAGCTCTGCCTCTCTCCAGTCCTTCTCTCCCATCTTTCTGAGTGGGCCCTGCCTAGGAAAGATCTGACACCTCCCTGAAAGAGTTCCTTAGGGTGACAAGGGAGTCACTGGAGGTGAAGTGGCCAAAGCAACAGGACCTTCTTGTTGAAATAAAAGGGGAGAGCTGTGTGGCCATTACAAAATGCAAATACAAGAACAGGTGATACGTTGTTGTTGTTTGACCTCCATCTCCCTACTTCGTGTACCCAAAGATGTCTTTGCCATAGGAATGGGATACTGATACACTGGGTAATAGAAATGTGACTTCTGAATTAACCCACACATTATAATTCATGCATAATTAGAAGAAGAAAATACTCTTCTCCAAGCTTCCATACCTGAGAAATCAGAATGCAAACTAAATCAGTGTTTAACACCTATGGCCACTCACAAAGCAAAGCAAGCTGGCTTGTAGACTATATGAGATCAGAATGGCTTTTAACACTGAAGGAATTGCCACTTGTAGCAATAAGCTCTCTGTAGCATCTACTTGGGCCTTGGCATGTGGTAGGAGTGAAAATGATAAACTCCATGTTAAGTGTTGTTTGAAAAAAAGAGATTGAAAATAAAATAGCCACTGTGACAATGCCATATGTAAAGTAGTAGTGTTGCCACATTAGGGTTGTGGGCACAATTCTGATAGTTTCACTTCAGAAAAGATATTGTGGGCACCTCCCATTTATTCAGTGGGACTTTGCACAAATTGCAGTAAACCGAACTGAATAATTTTGGGACTTCAGTTACTTGTTGCTAATTTGCCTTATTAATTTTTTGTGAGTTTACTCTAAGTGCAACTAAGTCTGGATCCAGCCCATGTACTTGTATAGCAACAGTAACAGTTTTCTGAACCAACTGTGAGATTATAGTTTATCTATTTCATGTGGCTTTCCTAAGAAGCTTTCTGGTGATTGGTTCGTTTCTGTACTTCATTGCAAATTCCTAACCATGTGCTATTTTCTAGGGTTGGTGTAAGTGTGGGTGAAAAGTACCTGGCCAAAACCATGTAATTGACAGTGACATTTTGACAGCTTGCCATGAGTAACATAAAAAGGAGTCTAATTTAGTTCCACAGCAAGAATGGAAAATAAGCTTGGGAATAAATTGGCTGAAAGAATTTCTTTCAGACTGTGTGTAAAATAGCAGACTAGCATTTGCAACTTTGAGTATTTATTGAATCTCCATAATGGAATCCAACTGATTATTGATACCACAAAGGTCATGCAACAAGAATATTTTCATTAGAATCTTAGGCAGGTGGAGGGTTTGTTTTGGTACATAAGAGTGACACATGGCTGTGTTGGTTTCCTGGGCAACATTAGTTCACTGATGTACGTGGAGAAATAAATGTCTCATTTCTGAAGTTTTCACATTTTGTCTTGAACAAACTGAATGACTGTACTAATAGCAGGAATATTAGCTCGATATGATTGCCAGTCTTTCTAGGGACAATTCTGGAACATTATGGTATTTTATAATCACATAGCACTGAAATAGGTTCTATTCCATTCTGAGACTGTGCATTTTTCTGAGATAAGTATCATGAGACCGTTACTATTTTGCATGTAGTTCAGATGTCACATGCAACCAGAATTCTAATACTGCTTGCAGGAGAAGCAGTCAGGTGACATACTTACAGCAACATTTCAGCTGGGCCACTGTACTGCATTTTTGTTTGAATCACATTTGTGTACTAACAAGGAAAAAATGGTTTTCTGAAAATCTTGGGGAAATGCACAACAGACCACTGGTCTGTTGGTCACAATCTAGTGTAATGCCTGTGGAGTGCAAAACCCTGCTAATGTACTTCTAGACTTAAGTTGCCCCTATATGTTGGCGCTCTGGGTCAAACCCCTGGTTGCTCCGCCTTAGTCATGGCCCTGGCAGTAACGTCTTAATCTCTTCCCTGAAGACTGAAAGTGATTGTGCTGCACTGAGCGTGCGCTCAGGTCATGCACTTTTGTCCTTTCTCTCTGCTTTGTAGATTGGGGTGGGCGTGGAGCGAAGTTAAAAGGTTTAGTTCATGCAAAATCAAGTTCAGGATTTTCATGTGCACAGTGACCCTTTGGAGTAAAAACAGGAATGTGAGGAACTACCGAATACATCATGTGAAAGGCAGGACTGGATGAATCCCATACTGGAATTAAGATTGCTGGAAGAAATATCAACAACCTCAGATATGCAGATGATACCACTCTGATGGCAGAAAGTGAGGAGGATTTAAACAACCTCTTAATGAGGGTGAAGGAGGAGAGGGCAAAAAACGGTCTGAAACTCAACATCAAAAAAACTAAGATCATGGCCACTGGTCCCATCACCTCCTGGCAAATAGAAGGGAAAGATATGGAGGCAGTGGCAGATTTTACTTTCTTGGGCTCCATGATCACTGCAGATGGTGACAGCAGCCATGAAATTAAAAGACGCTTGCTTCTTGGGAGGAAAGGGATGACAAACTTCGACAGCATCTTAAAAAGCAGAGAGACATCGCCTTGCCGACAAAGGTCCACATAGTCAAAGCTACGGTTTTTCCATTTGTGATGTATGGAAGTGAAAGCTGGATCATAAAGAAGGCTGACCGCCGAAGAATTGATGCTTTTGAATTGTGGTGCTGGAGGAGACTCTTGAGAGTTCCCTGGACTGCAAAGAGAACAAACCTATCTATTCTGAAGGAAATCAACCCTGAGTGCTCACTGGAAGGACAGATCCTGAAACTGAGGCTGCAATACTTTGGCCATTTCATGAGAAGAGAAGACTCCCTGGAAAAGATCCTGATGTTGGGAAAGTGTGAAGGCAAGAGGAAAAGGGGACAACAGAGGATGAGATAGTTGGACAGTGTCACCAAAGTTACGAACATGAATTTGGCCTGATGTGCTCTGGTCCGTGGGGTCATGAAGAGTCGGACATGACTTAACAACTAAACAAAAACAAGACCTCTTTATATCAAGGAGGAGGGATAAATCTGCCAAAACCCCCGCTTGGACAAGAGAAAACCCCCAGTACCCTCAGATCGCAGTTTGGGAAGATTGATGAGGGCATCAATTGAAAAAGATAAACAGGAAACAATGGAAGAGCTTACGATGGTTGTAAAAGACATGTCCTGTAAAATATCTGAAGGCTTCGATCAGACAGAGAGACGAGCCAAGTCCATTGAAATGAGCATTAATAAACTCCAAGATCAAATTTCAGGGGTTTCATAGGAGCTCAGCAAAATCAAAGAGCTTGGAACCAGATCAAGAAAAAAATATCCAGCTTGGACAAAAAAAAAGCAATGAAACTAATTAAAAGCTGATCTACATGGAGGATAACCTCAGGTCTAATATTAAAATAATGAATTTCCAACTGCAACATGGACAAGGCTTGGAAACTTATAAAATTTATAATTTAGGGGAAAGAGTGGTGGAGAATTTTTTTTTATTATTAAATATTACGTAGAAATGGAAAAGCCAAATAAAAAGGTCAAAGATGAGGTTCTGGTTGTAGTTTCGCCGGATGGCAGTGGCGTTCCCCCCCCACACCTTTTGCCCACACCAGTGGTTATGACGTGGGACTATGGTGGAGTGGGGAAAAATTATATGTTCACAAGATATGTAGTGGTAAACTATTGGTGTTGTTATGTCAAGTTTAAGTTTTAGTTTATTTTGTTAGTTTGGTGGGAGGAAAGGTTGCACACGGGACCTATTGGAAAGAGAAATTTTGAATTTACATGGGTAAAAGAATAAGGCTTGCGAATTTAAACATGAAAGGCCTGGGATCAACAGTGAAAAGAAGAATAGAAGCACTATTGAAGAAAAACAAGGTGGACATTGTCTTTCTGCAAGAGACACATCAGTCAGAAAATGGAGTCAATGAATTAAAGATGAACAATATAGACATATATGAATTTTTTTTGGAACTTCTAAATCTAGAGGTGCAGCAATTATAAATTTTAAAAACTGAATTCAAATTGGAAAAGATGGTAAAAGATTGTAATGGTAGATATATAACAATACAAGGTAAAATGGGGTTGGAAGAATATACCAGTACTTTGACCAAATAGGCAGGGTATAAATTGAATGAATGAATGAATGAATGAACGAACAAACACATTTTGGTTAATGTTTATACACCTAATAATAAACAGAGAGAATCTTATGGTACAGTTTTTAAAGAAAAGGAAAAAGTAAAGAAAGGTTATGTTATTATGGTAGGAGATTTTAATATGGTTATGAATAAGATAAAAGATAAAACTTTTTATAGTTGGAATGATATTTATCAAAGAAATACAATACTGAGCAAGAAGGTAAGAAATAACCAATTAAAGGATATCTGGAGAGAACTGAATGGTGATGAAAGAAGATATACTTATTTTTCAGCTGTACATAACAGTTACTCTAGAATAGATTATATATTTACATCTCAAGACTTAATTTCTAAGATAGTTAATACTGAAATTAATTCCCTTAAAATAACAGATCATGCTTTGATGTCAATAGAGATTGAAATAAAAAAAGATTATAAAGACTCTAAAAGTTGGAGAATGGATAATAATATATTATAGTACCCAGAGGTAATAGAAAAGATAAAGAAGGAGTGGTTAGAATTATGGACAATACAGGGAGGAGCAGGTGCTAAATTAGGCCTGTTGTGGG